CAAGTACCCCCGGCTGCAAACTGCGGATTAGGATACTAGACGGGGTCGGATGTCCAATGGGTGTGGTCATGGCTTGTCGGGAAGTTTAATAGGAGGCTTAAAAAATTGGGTGTTGTTAATTTTTGTATTTAGCATCTGGGGTTGGTTAATTTTAGAGCTGAGGGAGGGGTCAGACGTCCGACCCCGCTAGTTATTCGGCCCTGCCCCATGCCACGGTCTGCAGCCAAGGGTTACTCCTCTGCCATGAGGAAGTTCGGCTTAAAGACACGTCCCGGGGGCGTTTCTGGTCCCAAAAGGCGTTTCTGGTCCCCAGCTGTCGTTTTGCTCCTCAGCATGGCTTCCTAAAAACGCTGCAGGATTTCTCAAACATGCATGAATGAGTCAGAGCAAGACTTTGGGCATGTTATAACTTGATATAAAACTCAAAAAAGTTGATTTTACATGATATTGCCCCTTTAAATCTACATGTGGCAAAAAGGAGGTAAATTATATTTTTAAACCCTTACTTCAAGTAAATATTTTTTTACTTTAAAGCAAGCAAATTGTTTGCAAAGATCTTAAACCTACATCTAAGAGAAAAACTTGTTCCCCTCTAAAAGCACAAATATTTTTAATAATCTGTTTTTTTAATTGAATTTTTTTAAAGCATGGGTTTCTCTTCAGCTCGCCCTAACAGCTGATTTTCTTCTCAGGTTGATTCTAGAAATGAACAAACCAATTGCTCCTGAGGTGAGAGTTCATGTTCTCATAGACACCCTTGTTTCTTTTCTTCAGATTTTATAGCTACACTTCAATTTTTCTACCTTTTTTTTCCTGAAGGAGTTGTCAATAAATACTGAGGACCCTGATGAGCTGACAGCACCAAGAGAGGATGAGTTCTATCAGGTGAGAGCAGATTAAAGTGTTCATTTATCCATTTAGTTCAAAACAAAATTCTTGTGTTTGTATTCTGCACAGGAATCTGAAGCCTCTGTGGACGAGTGGCCTGAACTTGAGCAGGAGTTCAGGAAGACGTTGGAGGATGAAGAAGTTGAAGTTTAAGGATCAGTTAAAATAATCTTACTATAAACAAACACACAAACCTGTGCTGTCTTTCAGGTGAATGTTTGGTAAAAAAAAAAATCAAAAAGAAAAAAATTGTATAGGTCTTCTGGACGGGTTCTTCTCTAATGAAA